GCTTAATGGTAAAGGGATCAGATTCATCAAGAAGAGGCGGTAAACTTATCCTAAACTATGTATGCACCCAATCCACAGAGCCACCCAAGATCATTAAAGCAAGTCACTTAGAGGACGTTTACAAAAGAGGTACTTTAGACTCCCATACAATAATAATGGAGACTTACACCCATGTAATAGTTTTGTTAGATCAGATCAGACGAGACAGAAAGTGTAACCAGGGAATGAATCCTAGGAATTGAACGTGCCAACGCTGTGGCACAATGTGGATGTTGAAACCATTATACGTATGACATGCGCTCTATCGCGGGTTGGCGGCGATCTACTCTCAGAACGCGTCCTTGTTGCCAGCGCGCCGGCCAAATCAACAGTATAGTATGTATTCTGTTCTCAGGACCAGCGCGGACCACATCACACTTGATGACCAATGAATTGATCCGAGCATGCTGGGAGTGCGCAACCGCTTCCACGGAAGCACACGTCCCTCAACAAATTAAACGAATCAGGAGAGAATCGCCCATAACAAACTGTCGTGTCGACAGAGCCGACGCGCGCTCGCACTTTAAACTAGAACTGAGGGGAAGCTCAGAGAGCACAACGCCGTCCAATCGAAAACCGCATACAGACGTGACACTCGTGCACCAAGCGCTGTATGGCAGCCCTTGCGCATTCTTCCCTAGCACCTGGCCAGCCAAGCGCGCGCCCGCTCGCGCGCCAGAGATGCTCCTGAAAACTACTGCGCTTACATTACGATAATACTCGCAAAGGGCAGAAATAAAGATGTTCTTTGAAACCAATGAGAACAAATGATACAACATCTACCAGAATCTCTGGGACACATTTTAAAGCGTGTGTAGAGGGGAAATTTAGCACTAAATGGCCACAAGGGAGAAAGCTGGAAAGATCTAAAACTTGACATCCCTGACATCACAATTAAAATGAACTAGAGAATGTAGTCTATAATAATATATTGACATAACATATCCAATATTATATGTCTAGCAGTCGAATGCAATGAAATAACCAGATTCAGAGCAGAAAATCTGAAGGATGATAGTAGACACTAAAAAACCCTCCCAAAATATTATCAATTAATCCCAGGAGGTTTTTTTGAAAAGATCAACAAAATTTGCATAGACTGCTAGCAAGACTAATAAAGAAGAAAGAGAGAAGAATCAAATAGACGCATAAAAAATGATGAAGGATCACAAACGACCCCACAAAATGCACATGCCTACCATCAGAGAATATCTATAGATACCTCTACACAAACTAAACTACGAAAAACTCCTAAAATAAATGGATAATTTCCTGGACAGCTTGTATACCTCTCCCAAAGACTAAACCAGGAAGGAAGTTGAATCCTCTGAACTTAGACCAATAGCAGGCTCTGAAACTGAGGCAATAATTAATAGCCACCAACCAAAAAAAGTCAGGACCAGATGGATTCATAGCCGAACACAGATATGGCCTTCTTTGTCTCTTTTGATCTTTGATGGTTTAAAGTCTGTTTTATCAGAGACTAGGATTGCAACCCCTGCTTTTGTTTTTGTTTTCCATTTGCTTGGTAGATCTTCCTCCATCCCTTTATTTTGAGCCTGTGTGTGTCTCTGCATGTGAGATGGGTCTTGTGAATACAGCAAACTGATAGGTCTTGACTCTTTATCCAATTTGCCAGTCTGTCTTTTAATTGGATCATTTTGTCCATTTACATTTAAGGTTAATATTGTTATATGTGAACTTGATCCTGTCATTATGATATTAGCTGGTTATTTTGCTCGCTAGTTGATACAGTTTCTTCCTAGCATCAATGCACTTTAAGAAGACAGTTTTAATGCAGAAGACATTTTTAATGCAGTAAGAACTATCAGGCTTTTACCTTATGATTTGTATTTTTAGTCCTATTTTTAGAAATATTTTAACTCTATCTTTGAAAAGATATTTCCCATATATTTTTTCTAAAAGTTTTTTTAGTTTTTCATTTATAATTGATATATAATAATTTTACATATTTACGGGGTACAGTGT